ATTGAACTCAAAAATAAAGATGTCAATGAAAGATCACATTCCTTAATGATCGAGTATGCTAAGAAGTGATACACCTATCAAATTTGGAGCATATGGTCATGAAATGCCTTTATTAAAAACCCTACCTCTTGAATTATTGATTTATAATAATTCATTATAATAATTCATGGAAATAACTTGATAAAATCCCTCATAAAATCAACTATACTTGACATAAAAATTTATCCAAATTTCACCATAAGTTTTCTAACAATTCACTCTATAATCAAATAAACTAGCTAGCATCAATCAAACCATTGCATAATTCCATGAAGAAATTTTGCTTTACTATTCTACCTGACCAAGTGATCTTGAATAATCATAAACTTTTGTATAAAACTCACAGATATATAAGATGAAATACATATCAAATTCTAAACAAATACATATCATTTAGAGGCTAAACTACTCTCCTAATTTGACTACTAACACCAATTATGTTTTGTTAAAACTAGGTTAGGATAATCTAAACTTATAAACCTCGTATCTTAGTATACAAAAGTGGTATTTACCTAATTATAAATCTTATAAGATCCTAAAAGATTTTTTTTTAATATATCAAAAGGACATAATCAAATTATATATCTAAGAGAGTTACTTTAGATCAAATAGAATCCCATTTCAAAAAATAGGGGATTCTAAATATCTCATAGTAGGGTAATTATAATTGAATGCAACGATCATAGATTAAAGTTATACTAGAGGTTTTAGAATTATAAGATATTCATACAAAATATATCTAAAATTCATAGATAAATTCAAAGTTTAGATTAATTAAAAGTAGTTAAAAGTATTAGTCTATAATTTATAAAACTGAAACGCTAAATATAACAAGAGAAGAATTAGGTTTTTCTTACCTCAATCTTCCCTAGAGCTAGGGTTTCTTAGCTTCCATAAGAAAAGCTAAGAGAATGGCTAAAGAAGAAGAGGAAAGGTTATATGTTATCAGGTTGGTAAAGAGGATGATGCTAAAATAAATTAAAGGTGCTAAGAGATTATCTTGAGATCTAGGATTCAATCTCATTCTGCCTCATTTAAAGTTTTTTTTTCAAAGTTATTGCAACCTTAATTAAATATAATTTGGTTTGACAAAAGGTGACATTTTTTTGTTTAAACTCATCCTTCAATCTGATTTGTGTATCTTAACATTTAATATAATACTCGATTTGTGTATCTTAACATTTAATATAATACTCCTCTTTGATTTGCATCTTCATTTAATTTTTAATTACACTATCCATGCCTAAGTAGCTTATGATCCTCCACATATATAATATTTAAAACCTAAAGTTCTTTGTGTTAATCATGGTCAAATTTATTCAAGCCTTGTGATTCACTTAAAACCGATTAAAATTCAACCATAACTTCTAATCACTATATACATACTTATTATCATAACTTAACTTCATATTTAAGTCCACCAATATATTTTGATTTATTATACTATACTTAACATAAACATTAATGCTTATGTATGCTCAACTAATATTTTGTAAAACACTGAGAATTATATTTTTTTTGTAAAGTATATGCTTCAATCTTAAAAGCCAAAAATATAAGCATATCATTTATCATATTTATAAAACATAAATATCATAAATCATATAGTGAGGATAACATATATATTATTTATATTTCTATTGTCATACTAGTTATAGTTCAAAGTGTCTAAAATATAAGGCACTACAAGAATTTTATATGCTAATTCTTGCCACAAAGTAGTGATGTAGTGGAGACTCTTATGGGGCCGACTATTTCAAAAAAGCATTGGTTCATTCATTGAAGATGTGTAGCTATATAGTATCAATATAATATCAATCCCGGTAAGGGAAAGTAATACACTCATTTTTTATTATAAATTAAAATTGATATTAATGATGTTATGGTAAGAAAGGCTTATTTATATTTTTTTACAATTGAGTGGTTGTTACAATTTGGAGGGTTTACACTCAATTTAAAAATGATTATGATCTGTGTACTTTCATAAATGGTAACATCGAGTGGTTATGAATATAGTTGGTCAACGTTTATCTTGATTCACTCAAAAGTCTACAATAGATTATCATATAGACAACTAGAGAAATATATATATGTCCACTATAATATGCGGCTAAGATTACAGTGTGTCAAGATAGATAAGGGGCCATAGGAATTAGGGACCGATCCTTTTGACCTCCAATAGTATAACAAGGATTCACAATTAATATTGGAATTGGTCAAAGCAACGAAGAACTAAGGAGATCCTTTACTTAATGAAACGGGAGATCCTCCATGTCTTTATTATTTTATTACCAAAGTAATAGAAGAGGAGGAACAATATCTCCCAATAGAAGAAAAATCGACCTCAATCAAGATATAGTGGAAAGAGTTAGATAATCTCAATTTATATTACTCGACAATTGTTACCGTCGTAGGCACAAGGAAGAAAGTAACATTAGCCAAATAATTAAAAAGAATTAAGTTGGACGATGAAATATCTACTCAAGTGTGACTTAAAGAACCATTAGAAAGAATTCTAGCAATTTGACAATCATGGTAAAGCGACGGCCAAATCTATCTTTAGATATTTGCAGCCTCTTAAGTGTGAGCCTAATGATATATGGGCAGGGTGGCAATGTTTTTGAATCTTTCAGTTTGGCCGCACATTAAGATTTTTTTATTGAAAGCTCCTATTGTTACAGCCTCCATAGGCTTGTTGCACTTGGAATTAGAGTCAATCCTGTTTGTGTTTGTTGTAATCGCTTCCATGAAACTATTGAACAACTTTTCCTTCAATGCCACTTATGCCAAATATATGTGGGAGTTGGTCTCTAATTTTGATTGTTGGATAGATGGAGAGTGGCTTAGTCAGGGTCGACAGCTCGGATATATTGGCATGAAACGTGTTAGGGCCCTTATTGCTTCGGTCCTATAGTTTCTTTGGAAGAAATTATTTTCTAACAGATATACAAATCCTTGGCCCTTCGTTTGTAGGATTGTTGCTATATTTCATTCTAACGTGCTCACTAACTAGCCTGGTAGAGTAAACAAGATAGATCAAATCCTTATCAAATGGACTCCACCTACTGAGAGGATCACAATTAGTTGAGGGTTGTGGATTTATTCTGAGATAATTCTTTGTGGGTGGAGGAAATAGACGAGTAGCAATGCTTCATAGTGTGAAGCATAGGCAATTCTGAATGGGATGCAAAGGACTCTAGCATTGCGAGTTACAAGACTAGCAACGGATACTGATTCTCAAACTTTTGTGGATATTTTAATAATTGACTCAGTGCCAGCTTCGAAACATTTCTATTGTGATCAATAATATTTTATCCCTTACAAAGCATTTTTTGGATTCTGTTCATTTAATATATCTGAAGGGATGGAAATCATCCAACTAATTGATTTGCCAACTTTGCTAGAAACTCAAGTCTTGATTGTACTTGGAAGGGAGAATTTTTTAATTGATAGTGATATGAACGGAGTTGAGTGGCATTAGAGGTGGCTGATTTTTTTATTTATAACATCTTATTTTCTTTGCAAAAAATAAAAACTTATGACCAACAAAACCATATTTAAAATATATGGATGGAATATTTTCATATGAAATAATTTTAAAATTATTGGAATGAGATTTTTCAATCCAAATACTTGAAAGGAATTGAGAGATCTATTTCAACACATGCATGAACATATCTTCCTCGTTTAAGAACGATTATATAACCTCAATGCACGTCCTATAATACAACTAATTTGAAAAAATAAATATATTTCTTATTTTAACACTCTATTGAGAAATCCAACAATTATATCCACTAAAATTGTTCCAATATGACCTAAAATTTTGGATGTCAAAGTATCAAATGGAGAGCAATCTTCTGAAATATTATGGTCACTTAATATTAGATGGAGAATTCTTTCTTGAAAAATCTATAAATAACAACAATTTGGGATTAGCTTCATTAATCTTTTACCACTACTAAGATCTATAAAAAATACTATATGTTTAGCTAAGTTAAAGTTAAGGGTAATTAAATATTTATTTATAATTTCTATTAAGATCTTTTCGGGACTTCCTTCCTCTATCGCTCCTTATATCACTAATAGTATTCATCTTACTTCTTCAAACTATTACATTTATACAAGTATATGTTAATATCATCTTAAATATTCTCTTTTATTTTATCCACTATCTAAATTATATCTAATTATTTTCAAAAGCTACAGAAAATAAGGAGCCACCTTCCCTAATCTACACTCCCTAAAAAAATATTTTAAAAAATCAACCAGGACACGTGCTATAACAAACTTTCCATGGATTCTCACATTGTATCAATTTGTAAAGGGTTCCTAATCCAATCCTAATAGCAATCTGAATGAGAATACTAGGTTGAATCAATTTTAACAGTAACCTAAGCAATTGAATTCATGTGGGAGCAGCTTCTTTCTTTTCCTTCAAGTGTGGGAAATTTTCTCCCCATGCGATCAAGAACAAGGCTTACTCGACATTGCGTGCTCTATAAAACAAGCTTACTCGACATTTTGGAAGACAAGGAAGACAGACTTGAGAGTTTTTACTCTTTTCCACAAAGAGGTTTCTGGGATGTGTATTATGAAGATCAAGAGGAAGGCTAGGAGGATGTAGAAGGAAAGCCCTAGGGTTTAGGCAAGGTATGCCGAACCATTGTTGCACTGTTATGGCTCTTATTATTGTTGTTCAATTTTCTTATTGTTTTATTTTGTCTTAGATATCATATATATTACTTCACGATTAATTTGACATTATAATTATATTCTTGATTGCAATTTTCAGAAGGGAGATCAGAAATTAATCCATATCCAATTTAATCCCGGGTGGATCCTAGGACAGCACCACTGGGCTAACCAATATTAACATATCAATTTATCTTGTGAGCTCTGGATCACCTGCTTTGGCATTTTAATTGGTGCACATTTGTTGGCCATTGCACTGATTGCACTAGAATAAAATAAAATTTTAAGATCAAGAGTTTTTGTAGCAGTAATGTGTTCCACATTCTGAATACGTCATGGATAAATATGACATAGCCTAAGGGCAATCCATATGTATGTATCAAACACAAATTATGTACATATGGACCATTACAGAAACAAACTATAACATACAAACTATATTCTAAGAGTAGTCAGACTTGGATGATGGCTACAAATAAATGAATGCCTGGTGACCTTAAAACCCACCTGAAAAAATGAAGCATTGATGATCAATAAATAGCAAAGCAAAATCACTCAGTGAGATAAATCAACAAGGAGCCAAATACCAAAGCCGAAGCAGAATGGGCTGAATAGGTTGTGGCTCGAGGATGCAAAAAAAACGCTTAGAAGAGATCCACCTTTCTTTTCTGCATATCCTGTTTCCACTTGGGTTGTTGATAAAACGCCTCTTTAGTCATACCCAGAACCGTCTCAAACTCGGCATCAGATAAGTAGGCCTAAATATTTGAGAAGTTGAATAGAACCAAGATCACCTCTAAATCTCTTGTAGGCAAAGCATGTATGGAAGCAAAAGAAATTTGGTTTGCACTACCTCTCTTTGTTTGTAGTCAATTCCGCTGACAGGATCGCTAGACTTAGCTTTCAAGCGCTCATAACTGAATGTAGTTTCACCCCCGTTTTCATCTATCTTTGGTTCCTGTGTCACCTCAGAATCTGCATCATTGCTCTCTGATACAGAGCCATCTCCTTCTATGGGTTCCTTCTCTGATGAAAGCTCAAAGGAATGTTCTGACTCCGAGCCCATCATTTTAATCTTTGTAGAATCTGCAGCAGGTAATGATGGTCAGAAATATTCTCAATTACAAACATTAGAGTTAAGAGTACATCTCTCATCTCATCTAGAAGGTCTTTGATCTCATCTAAAAACAAGGCTGGTTTTCCAGGCTTACTGATTCTATGGGACAATAAGCTATAATTTTCACCCAGGCAATTGGCGCATGTTCTCCATTACCTCACATCAAACGATAAGTTGTTTTTGAAAAAATGGCATACACTGTCTTGTGGAAAAAGAAAACAAAAAGCATTTAGGAGATGATCCATCTCTATGACCTTGTTCTTATACTCAGCATGCACTATAAAGCAGCCATTAGCAATCATCAATCATATAAGATAACCTACTTATACTACATGGGATGATTGATAGGCATTACCATTTGCAGTCACATCTGGAGTAGGGGAAGGACTTCTGCTAATTGTTGTTGTGGAGGTTTCTGAGTCCCCCCTCTTTTGTTCAGCAGTTAAAACAGAAGACAGCGCAGCAACAGCAGCTGCTCGCTGTGACCCTTGGTTTGACCGTGAAGGCTTTGGTGCTGTAGTTTTGGTGCCTGAAGATGGATTAAATGCAGATGAAAGTGCCGCCAGGGCAGACGCCCTTTGAGTAGGTCCATCATGATGCACACCAGTAGACTTATCTTTAGACTGCAGTAAAACATAGGGAAGAACAGTAAATTAAAATGAATCACTGAATATCTTCGTCTCTCAACTGTCAGAAGCATGTTCGTCAAACTAATACTGGAAATTATCATGAAGAATAAGACATGAGATCTCCAATAAACAAACAAAACTCAACTCAATTTAGTGCATCTAAACAAAAAAAATTGTACATTATTTTGCCAACACATTGAAATCAAGTGTAGATTCAGAGAGGTACAAGTTCCAAATGTTCTAAGAATTGTAAACATTGGACAAAAGTTAAAAAAGATGGATTTCTTGGATTCAAAGAATCATGTCAAAAAAGCCTTTCTTGATAATAACTAAAGAGATATTGTATATATGAGTTTATATTGATATCAAAAAACAAAGCAAAGAACACAATTTTTTCATAAGATAATTATATTTCTTTCCACATGATTTTCAGAAGTTACCAACCAACGTATAAAAAGAAGTATAAGCTTTTATAGTTAGTGTTGATACTGCATGTTGTGTGTTAAAAATACTTGTCTTAGGATAGAAACCAAAGCTTTAAATACAAATGAGACTAGATAGCAGTACTGGTCATCACATAATGGTTGCAACAAAATCATCTTAGTCAGCCATGAAGATAAGAGATAAATTCAAATACTTCCATGCAGAATGCCCTGACAAACTGATAGTAACACAAATATACTATACATAAGAATAAAAAGATAAGCTAAATTCATGCTTAATGCCTTTTCTTTTCTTTAATTAGGGTTATGTCATCAATAAAAGGTCAACCCAGAACATGAGGCTTCAACAAAACATTACCCTAACACATTCATTTTGTAGAACTAAACCTCCAGTTAAAGAGTAGCAGTGTACTATGCTTGCTTTGTTAACATGTTGAGATTGTTAAACATCTAAAGTAGCTCCACAGTGACTAATTCTGACACAGGATACAAGGTTTAGCCAGGCAATTATATTGCTGAGCTATGCTGGTGCCTATGCTAGTTATTTTATACCATGAACAGACTAAGTTTTTAAACAATTTTGGACACCATAAAGAGCATCCTATTGTTGATCCATATCACTCTGATATGGTTTGGTTTGTAACATAGGTGTAAACAATTTGAAACCAATGAGAGAGTCCAAGTAATTGCAATTGTGTCAACTTGCAATTCATTATTGGTTCTGATATCAACTAAGATGGCAAGAATCACATCAAGGACAATTAACTTGTATTTGAGGAGTCCTTCTAGTCTACTTTTGTAACTATTTACACTTGGAAAGTTATAATACCAAGTGACAAACATGATAAAGAATTTTAAAAGTCATCCAAGTGGTCAATGATTAATGATTAAAAAGTTAACAAAACAACAGCAACAATAATAACAAAAGAATTGTAAGGTCCCAACTATTTGGGGTCAGTTATATGGGTCTTTTGAGACATCAAAATTTATAAAAAGTCATATCTAAGTTAAGAGTATGTAAATCTTTGTTTACAATTTTTATTACGATCTTCTTAGGTCTTCCTTCACCTCTCCTCGCACTCTACTATTAATAGCAATCATTTCACTTTTCTAAGACCAATATTTGCAGGTATAGTGCATGTTCCTACTATCTTAAGCAATTCTCTTTCATTTGATACTCTACCAAGACTACACCTAATTATTTACAAATGAAAATAATTTTCTTTTATTATATTTCCTAGTAACTCCACGTATTCTCCAAAACGTTCTCATACCAGTAACATAAAACTTTTATATTTGTTGTATTTTAATTGTTCAACACTTTGATCCATAAAGTATTGTTGGTCTAACAATTATCTAATAAAATTTTTATTTTGTTCTCAAATATACCCATTAATCACAAAAAACTCTCAACATGTTATTTTAATCATCTAATTTTTACTCTATGATTAACATATTCATCAATCTCTACATCTTATCCATCTAATTAGAAGTTCTTATAAAACACAAAACTTTTACATAATAAAAGTTCTTATCCATCCAATTAATTATATCTTCAAGTCTATTCTTGGTATTTTTAAAATTATTTCTCATATATTCAGTCCTAGTACTATGTAATCTATATTCAGTCCTTATACTACATAATATAATACCTTTAGTTTCTAAAGATTTTCTCTATAGCTCAAGTTTAAAATTAATTTCATTCAAACTTTCATCAAATAGAATAATATCATCCACAAATAACATATACTAGGGAGATCTAATCTATAAATGATGATCTATCTTTTAAATAACTAATAAGTTTATCCATTACCAATGAAAACATATAAGGATTTTATGTCGATTTTATGTCGTCCTATAGTACAAGGTAACTCACTAGACACACTCCCAATAATTCTAATACTAATGACTTCACTATCATACATCCTTTATAACATCAATATAATTAGAAGATACATCTTTCTTTTCTGACATTCACCATAATAAATCTCTAAGATGTCTATCATAGTACTTTAAATTAATATAAACTATATACAAATCATTCTTTTTCTTTATATATTTTTCATTAATAGTCCTAATAATTAAATAACTTCTATTATTGCTATTCCTAGCATAAAACCAAATTGATTTTCAAAGACATTTGTTTCATATGTTATTTGATTTTTAATCATTCTTTCTCAAAGTTTTATATCAGTGATTTAAAAAGCGCTATGCACCAAAAGGTGCCAAGGTCCCAAAATGCTTGAGGTGCTTAGGTACTCGCTCGAGTGAAGCTTAATACTCTGAAATATTAAAATATAAAAATATACAATAAAATTGATAAATATAATTATATAAATTAAAATACTATTAACAGTAGTTAGAGGGGGAGAAAAGAACTGTTTATAATAGTTAGAGGGGTAGAAAAGAGTCATCGACACTAGAAAGTGGAGAAGGAGAGGGCCGCAATGATAGAGGAACCTTAAGACGATGGTAGCAACGGTGGAGGAAGTTGTGGATGGCAACAGAAACAACAGCGGAAGCTACAGACGACGACAACAGTGGAAGCTACGAACGACAACGTCGTGGGCGAAGAAAGCTTCAAAGGTGTCCGTCGGTGGTAGAGGAAGTTGCGGTCCTCTCCCTCGATTATAGAAGGAGCTACACACGAAAGCAACAACAGCGAAAGGAACTGTGCATGAAGGCTAGGCTATCGGACCTCTCTGTCAATGACAGAGGAAGCATCAGTCTTGTGCGATGACGGTGGAGGCAATGACAAAGGAAGCATCAGCGACAACAACAGAAGTTGCGCTACGGTTGATGGCTTAGGGTCACGCAAGGGTTTAGTGGATGGGTTTTACGGGTACAATTAAACAACAGAAGTAGCTAGTTGGTTCAATCGAACCAATTAACTTCTATTTAACCAAACTAGACTTAAAAGCCTGGTTTGATTGATGCATTTGAACTAAGCAGTTGCCCGAGGCACCCGGCACCTAGGTTCAAGAGAGCACTTAGGTGGTGCTTCACTGAAGCGTGTCGCTTGGTCGACACTTGAGGTGCTTGGGCCTCATCTCACCTCACCCAAGCGCCTAAGCGAGCGCTTGGGTGGCTATTTAAACCACTGTTTCATATTCGACCTTCAATCATTTTTTCTCAACATTCATATTCGACTTTCAATCACTTTTTTAAATTTTCATAGGATGAATCATAATAACAGTTATGAATATAAACCTTATTCTTATAAATTGATACAAAAGAGCTCTTCCTCCATTCATCAGACACCTTTAAAAATCTTATAATCTTGTGAATAACTAGTTGGTCTCCTTAACTCTTCAATACCTCAATAGGGATACCATTATGCCTCACACTCTTATTTATTTTTATTTTTATCAACCTACATTCACCTAAAAAGCTCTAATTTTATAATAGATCTATTGATCACAAAATTTACGACAATTATGGAATATTTATTAAATAATTTATAAAAATAATTTCTTCGTCTTTCCTTAATTTTATTATCATTAATAAGTATTCTTTGATTTTTCATATTTAATGCATATAATATTACCTAAATCTTTACCTTTTTCCCCTAACCTTAGTAATTTGATATATCTATTCTCCCATTCTTACGTAAATTATTACTAGCCTTATATCCTACCATACTAGAAGCTCTATTAGTTTTCTTTATTTCTCCTTATTTTTATAATTTTATGAATTTTTAAAATATAAATTTTTAAGTAATAATTGCTTTTTGAATTTCCTCACACCACCATCTCTCTTTAAACCTACCACCACCAATCTTTTGTATATTCTCCAACAATCTCATTTGTTAAGCTCATAATTTTATTAGTCATCATCCCATATAACATTAATATATCCTAGCTAGCTTTCACACTGCCTACTGCTATCTTTTTCTACTTTCATTTTTCAACAGCAAATATATAATATTGTCATTGTGTTAAACCATAGCAAATGAAGATCTTTCCCAATAATACCATCCAATGTTTTAAATAGGCGCTCGCTTAAGTGCTTAAGTGACATGAGGCGAGGCGAGGTCCAAGCACCTCACACGACCTCCAAGTGATGTGATTCACTGAAGCACCGCCTGGGAGCTTGCCTAAGCCCAAGTGTCAGTCGCCTTAGGCGAGCCCGAGTGAAAGTGGTGTAGCGCAAGAAATTGTAAGAGAAAGGATTCTAGGCGAAAAGGAGGGAACTGATCTGAAGGCGAATATAACGAAATCGATCAATGCTTAGCGATGAAGAATTGAACTATGCTCGACGATGGACGGGAAGGCAGAAAATATGATCTCGTTAGAAGGCAAAAAGATAGGGTTTTGAAGGCGAAATTGGATGGCAAAAGACGCAATGGATGGGAGGGCAGAAGTGATCTCGTTGGAAGACGAAAAGATAACGTTTTGAAGGCGACAGATGGGAGTTAAGTATTAACTCGCAATAAATAGCACTTTTATTCTAATTTCGTTGCGTCAAGATGCCATTTGACTCATCCATTTCTAGATTTGGGTCAAAAATCACCTATCAAATAGGATTGAGCTCAAATTATGAGTCAAATTAGGCATAGTAGTCAAAGAATTACATCATGTAATATATATTTCGAGTCGATTACATTATTTCAATTTGATGTGGCATTTTTATTTTTATCATCATATTTATTAATTATAATACATATTTTTTATATTATAATATTTTGGAGGGCCTCGCTTCCCTCAAGCGAGCGCCTAGCACCTCTGACGTTTTGAGATATTGATGCCTTTTGGCGCCTAACACTTTTTAAACCATTGCTATCATATGGTATGGAGCCGCTACAACCTCAAATTTAATATTACCATCTGGTATGGAATATAACCTCAAGCTTAATACTACTATCTGATATGAGGCCACTGCAACCTCAAGCTTAATAATACCAATTGGTATGGAGACACCATAGACTACAGTTATGGCTATGGTCTATCTTCATCTCATTTTTTATGTGAGTATTAACAATTACAACATCTAAAAACATTTAAAGTCATACAATCCTCTTCATTTCTATCCTCATAAGTTCATAACAAAAGCCCTCATGTGCTCCTTTAAATTCACAACATATTTTTACTACATGTCCATGCATATCTCCTCTAATAATAAGTTTACAAATTGTTGATATCCATTGATCTCAAAATTATCTTTTGGTTTAATCATCCAACCCAATTTAACGGGGCATAAGAACTTATAACATTCAAAATTTCTCCTCCTAAAACAAAGCTATAATTCTATCCCCAAATTTCTTCACATCTACAATATTTTCCTTTAGATTCTTCTTTACAACAATGCTTGCACTTCTGTTTATTATTTTTCCAAGAGTGATCAAACTCTAAATTTTTCTCTAGTATCCTTTAAAAAAATATTGTTTATTCTTCTAATCATTGTATCTATCAAATCTTGTCTTTTTCCTAAAAATATTCCTATATTCCAAGTTGTTATCTTAATCATATGATCTTGGACTAGACTCTTTACTTGCATCAATCCAAAAACATTGAGTAAAGAGGTCATCCAACCGTCCATGCGGTCTGGAAGATAAAGAAGCCTATAGTTGGTCATCTAAAAGATGATAGAACATAGACTGTTGCATCAACCGATTCTAATACTAAAACATTCAATCCATACAGGTATCATTCGAGGCTGCTTCATTCTCCACCAATTTTTGAACCTTGTTGTGAGAAGTTAGTTGGAACAGACCAAATCAGTTAAACCAAAATAGAGGATCGAATTTGCTAAGAAGACAAAGAAGATGAGAGGAAGAAAGAGTAAAGGATTAGTAGTTGCTACAATTGGCAACCATGAGGGGTAAAAAAAAATAGAGAAGGAAAGTGGAAACGACAAAAATCAAACATTGTAATACTGTGTTTTCAATTCCCATCGCCATGAGAACAGGATGCAACACTAGCACTTGATATAGTGTATGGTCTGACCACTAACGGATACCAATACTGGATAGAAATTTTAATTCTTGGTATGAACATTATTTATCTATTATAAGTCATCTTAATGAAATATTCTATAATTCCACACTACAATTCACTGTTAGCTTTTATACAATTTTATTATCTATTATCTATCAAAATTTTTAAGTTAAACATTTTACATATTATGAATGTAAAAGAATCTTTTAGCAGGTACTATTCTTTAACAGATTCAGTATTTGACCAAAAGTATGTCTTTCAATCATTTATTTACAAATAGAAATACTTAAAAAATCAAAAAACAAATATTTATTCATAAAGAGAGTATATGTGCATATCCAATTTTGCTAATCAATCCAATCAAGCTTATCCAATCAAGTCTAGACAGTCTTGATTCTGTTTTAAATGTTTTTTAATAAAATAGAAACTGCAAAAACAACTAATTCCCATCAAGGTCAGCTAATCCAACAAATTTAAGTTGAATGATGCTGCCAATGAACAAACTGACAGAAACATAGATGATAAAAAAAAGAAAGAAAAGAAGTTGAAAAGAATAAGGAAGAAAAAGGAGGAAAGGATAAAGAGTATAATATAGAAAGAGGGAATTTCCTACAAAGTTTTATTAACCTCACTTGTTATCACTAATATGATGCTTGTTGTTATTGTTACTCGGTTGCCATAACGAGAAGAGTGTGCGAGAAAAAAAAAAGGTGTGAGGTGAGAGAAAAAGAAGAGAGAGAGATGGAGGATATTGAGATAGAGATAGAAGGAGTGAGAAAAATAGATATGGAAGGGTATGAGGATGACATCTAATGATATTATAAATTGGAATCCTCAATTTCTTGCATCTCAACAACCCATTGGTATAAACCCAAACTTATTAACTGCAGGGACCAACCTTCAACTCTAAATGGAAATTATTTGATCAAAATTTTTTTAAAATAATTGCACAAAATCCTAACCCATATATGGATTATGGATGGACAGGCATCAAAAGATCCATATAGCTGATGCCAAATAGTTGGAGCTTTACAGGAAAATCCTAACTGATGATGGATGGAAAGAAGCCTGAAGATTTAACAACTGGCGATCACATATTAATATTTTTAATTAGTTTTAAATATATCCTTCAATTTAATAAATTATATATATGATATAGAATTTACCATGTAGTAGTATTTGGCTTTTCTTTAAATTAGTGTTCCAATCAATCCTAGTCTAATTACATTGATCTAAGATGTCTAAGTACCAATAATCCCAAGAGCCCTTTATCAACCTAGAAAACTCAGTAGAAGCCATAACGTAATATCATATGCATCTATTGTTACTATACCCCACAACACTTATGTGGCTTCGTGGAGTCCTGATGCTTAAAAATAGTTAGATGATGACTCAATCATACTAGATTCAATTTAAGAATTGAGTTAAGATTCAAGTTAAGACTCAAATCAAGATCCAATTGAGCCCCAACTAACCCTTTTGCCTGAGGGGAGTAAATTTGTATTTTCATGCTAGTTAAAGCCAAATTAGTATCAAGAAGCTCCAATGTAGTATAGGTGAGGCTATATATTTTTTCTTATAAATGTCTGTGAGATTTGGGAATACAGGAATAACTTTTGATCCCTCAACTTGTATGGTGGTAAGCTCTATTATTTCCTACTTACGAGTAGAAGAGGAAAGGGATGAGAATCTACAATTAAAAATCTTAAAAGCACTAAAGAAAAACTAAAGTTATCAATGATAATCCCCTTAAATTCCTCTCTTCTTCTCTATTCCTTGTCTCATTCTCTTATCTATCTCTTCTCTCTTGTCCAACTCTTTCTATCTCTCATTTCTCTTCTTTTTCTCTCAAAATATTGAAGTTGTCAAGCTCTAAGAGTGATACCTTCTTCCTTCGAAGAAGAAGGCCCTTGCAAGAGAAAATTCTATCATATATATAAACATAAAAATCTATTTCACTACGATTAATTGAAAAACAAATGATACAAATTTTAAATTACTAATAACACAAACCTTAGTACACGCTAACGACACTTTTAAGCTGTTATTTAATTTTGTGTCAGCCAGCACTCCTGAGTCCTGATGATTGTTAATTGTCAGACATGACATCTTCAGATATGAAACCTTATCGTAAAATGATTTATGGATGAAAAAATATAAGTCAAAGACTCAAATTATATTTCAGTATAATGTATAGTTAGAGGAAAGAAAGAACCTACCATGACAGTATTAAGTATTAACTATCAAATATATTGTGGCGCAACAGATGGCCAAATACCAACACAGCAAGTGATAGTTCCAAGTAATCATGGATTTATGTACAATCAGCACCCAGCAAGTCTTGCTAAACTCTAAAATCCAAATGTTAATAACTTAATATACATAGATAATGGATGGCTCAATCTGGTTAAGAAAACAAGTTAACATGGATATTTACAAATAGCAACATTAGAAAGTATATAATTATTTTGAGTTAAAGAAGAAAAGAAACCACTAGTTTCTTACAAAGAACTCACATGCAAGGAAGATTTTAGAACAAGTATGCAAACCTTTTCTTGCTGGAGGAGTAAAAAAAAAATACATAATTAAGATCTAGAAAGACAGGCTTTCAAATATCACTATTTTTTCTCTCTTCATTTTCTGGTCGCTTTTGCTAGCTTAACAGTTAATTTTAGTACATGCAACTTCATAAGCTAATTTCTTATTTAAGTGATAAAGTTAAGCTTGATTATAGATGGGGTATAACTGTGTAAACTTGCTAATAAATATGTACCTCTGAAGCATGCATTCCAGTCCCAAATAGATATGATAGTTTCTTCTGGAAAGAATTTCCTTGAACCTGTATCATATGTTACTATTCTTAGTTATGCTAATATAAAGTATATGCAGTACAAATCAGAAAATAAAAGGTTACTATTCTTATTATAACAAGAATTTGCATCAATAAAAGCAAGCAACATTGAGTCACAAATTTATCTAGACACCAAGAAAATACATTACCTTTTGCATATACTTAGTGCATAGTATAAACCAGTGTCTGCCATACCGAATCGTACCGCCCGGTACGGGCGGTATGTACCGGTCCGATTGGCCAGCGGTACGCGGACTGTCCGGTACCGGTACTCACTGTAGCACTGCTACAGTGCTCGGTACACCGTACCGTACCGGTACCGAGCCCAGATCGAAATACCGGTACGGTACGGTATTGCGAACCTTGGTATAAACATCCATAGCTTTAGGGAGATGATGCATGCATGACAAAAGAATTCAACATGATGACTTCAAAAATATTCATGCCTTTCTCATTAAATAGGAAAAAAAGTATATGTACATCCAATAATTTACTCCCCCAAGTACAGGAGAAAGACAACAATAGCAAGATTGTTAAAGATCAGTAAAAGAGAAGGCATTTTTAGGTCCACATTATGGTTGGAAATCACCTCAAGCAGATCCGGGACTGAGAGCAAAAGATGCAGCTGGGTTTGCTTATGTCAATTTACTTTTTAGTCTATTTTATTCATAATAAGTTTACATCAGAATTTTCTTTTCTTTTTTTTTGTATATAATCATATGATTTTTGTCATAAAATTTGCTATTAGAAATACTTAGAGAACACTCTATTTGAAGGCTCTTTTAAGCTGGGATATTTGTCCAACTAATTTGAAATCCTTTGTTCAACCTTCAGTTTACCCGCCAAGATCAGTCATTCCCTCTTTTCTTTGGGGCTCATAGTAAACTTCTCAATTTATTCAAGTTCTTGACAGTTACATCTATATCCAGATAGTCACACCAACTTGAGCATGTTTAATTTACTTGAGATTGAAGAGATAAGAAACAATTATTCAATAAAAATGATACAAGGTAAAGCTCAACCATAAAACATACCATAGCCTTTGCAGGGTCCCAAGAGAAATATGTCGTGAAGAAACAAGGTTCATTACCCTCTGTAATTTTATAAAGTGGTGCATGTGGGGATAAACCTTCTAGTGGCACTGCAAGCTCTATGTATTTCTGAAAAAAGAAGTTTGGTAGCTTTAACTGTTGCAACAGCAAACTCTAGTATGACAAATAAAAAGAAAGCTCTGCCAGTACCTGTCCTATATCAAATGCATTTTGCTTCTCGTTGGAATCTACAGAATGTCCAATCCATACAAAGACCTCAGCGTGGGTGTCAAACAGCAACATGTCTTCAGTTAACAAATCATCTTGAGAATAATTGAAGACTTCATTAACCTGCAAGATGTACAGAGGAATATACAAGCAAGACTAGAAAGCTCACCAAATACATGAGAATTTCCATCAAACATTACAGTTGGAAGCATTCACTCACCTCTAGTTTTTCTGGTGAAGGTTGTTTGACCACAAATGAATAGAAGATATCAGAACATCAGATTGATGAAAAATAAATCAAAATAAATGTAGTCTTGGAAATTCATCAAAAGATATATTCCTAAAATTTATCAAACCTTTTTTAAACAAAAAGGTATACAAGTGGGGATCTCTAACAATATCTTGTTTGATCTTTTTGCTGGTATAACTTTGCTTCCCACCAAGAGCAAACCAGAAAGCAGAGCTTTCCGTTCCCTCCTTTACATGCTTTAGTGCAACACCTGGCTGCAGAAGAAAAAATAATTTTCTGTATTCATGGTGTTGGTAAGAAATTACTCTTATATATATATATATATATATATATACACACACACACACACACACACACACACACACACATAAATGCTTATAGATATTCATACATATATGATATATCAATATGAGTGTATATATTTATAGATTTATAGATATAGTGACGCAGGCAAGGTACCTCAATAATGTAGAGGAATGATGTCAGTGACCATCAAAGTTCATAAAAAGCTTGCCTTTCCAAAACTAAAATTTGGCACACTAAAGCTAACCCAATCACAAATAGGTCAAAGCAAATTCATTCTATGATAAGCCAAAAATAAAAATGAGCAACCTTTCTACATTCTTGTTTGTTGAAATTAAATGACAGTAGAAATAAACAATAATACAGTTATGCAAAGACCCAAACAGGAACCACCACAGAACAGATACAAAAAATTGGCTAGTTGTGAACCAACACCGCAAGTCTTAAACAATTTGCACCAAGCTCTACCAAATTTAAACCATGCTCCAACACTGCAGCTACTTGGTTTTGAAATTTCCATCAAGCTTTTTTAGGAAGAAAGATTTCAAACACAATCCAATTTTCAATCAAAAGTTCCACTATGTGGTCATATCAATTGAAAAGGCAATCAAAATCAAATCTATGCAAAATCAAAGCTATGTACTGCAACCTAGAAGAATGCCACTGATGTTTTAGTTTATCCTCAAGTAATCCAAGTAAAACTTGTGCCTACTCTCACTGATGTTTATAAGACACCAGAAATAGGATTCCTAGGTACAGAATTGGGTTTCAAAAGATCTACAATAGTAAAAAGTAAAAAAAGAAACACTATTTCATACACATCAAAACACATGGTCATCTTGAGAACAGAAATTTCACCAGGTAAGAGCCAAATAAACAATATAAAGAAGCTCAGTAATCAAACAAAGATATTCAACTTGAGATTGATCATCTTGACTATGTATTGTCTTTTGTTCGCAAAAATAAGATAATGCTAGAACTTGGACCACACTAGCCAAGCTGGCGATCGTTGATTATAGTTATTACTCTACATGATATGCATGTATGCATGCATCATGCAGCTACTTATCTACTAGAATAAATAAACACAAAGGGAAAGACAAGAAAACAAAAAAAGAAAAATCATATAGAATACAATTATACTTAGTAACTTCCCATGATATGTAGCAAGATAATGATTCCCTAATAAGCTGAGATTTCTAAATTTGATTTTTTTAATCTTTTTACAACATTGGAGACATCTCTCTAATCAAGACAAGGTTGAAAGATTATTAGGAGTATTAAGTAAATTGATTTCATCAGTAAAATCATTTAGCTTTTGAGTGTTTATGCATAGTCTTGAGTGCCTAAACAACAACTCACAATAAGACTATTCCATGGCCTTCAAGCGAGTTGCAGCAATTTATAAGCTGATAAATTAGACAAATCTCTGACTTTAAAATCTAGAAGCAATCTCTGACTTTCATAAGGAACCTTTCTTTTATGATCTCATAAATTCTGGTCACACTGCCAACATATCACTGAGATATATACTGCATTTTTTGCAGCTGCCAGAACAGATATTTTGAAGTTCCAGAAATTTCATGTAAGAAATGTTGGCATATTAGAAGCAAGGTATGCAGTTTCGAATAAT